CCATGTGTGCTCCAGGGTGGGCTGTGGTTGGGGCTGCTCCGTGGGTGGGAGGTGCTGGGGGGTGCAGGGAGGTCTGGGGGGTCCTGCAGGGAGGTCTGGGGGGGTTGTCACCCCTGTCACTCCCGTGATGCAGCCAGGCCTGATGCACTCATCACACGTGTGGCCTCTGTGGTGACACCAGGGACAGGAATGGCCTCGTGACCTGCTGCCTCAGCAGTGAAACGAGTTTGGGGAGCCTCAGCCACCCTCAGGCCCTTTCCCTGTGGATTTCCCCAGGTCCAATGTGCCCCCATAACCCCCAGCTGAGACCTGCAGCTCAGTGCAGGTGTGGCCAGATAGACCCAGGGGTGGTTCTTTGCCATGTGTCCCCCCACATCAGGGTGGGCACAGTTTGGGTCACCCAGAGGGTTTTGCCCCCACCTTGTCCCTTGGGACCCCCAGGATCACCCACAGCAGTGGGTGATGCAGTGGCCTCAGCCAGGACTGTCACACCCCATTGTGCCTCAGTTTCCCCTGCAGTCAAAGCTCACAGGGAGGACACAGACCACGTCCCCAAGCCATGGGACACCCTGGGATGGTCACTGTGTTCTCTGTCCAGCTGGACATCATGTTCAGCCAGGCAGGAGGAGCATCCTGGCTCCTTCCCAGGGCTGGCACAGCTCCTGGTCCTGGCAGGGTGAGGGTCCCCAGGCTGACCCTGGTGTGACACCCAAGGACATCACATGTGTCTGTGTGTGAACCAGGGCAGGAGTGAGCTCAGGTCCTGTCCCACACCCCAGGGATGCTCACACAGACACACACACATGTGCACACACATGTTCACACACCTACACATGTATCTGTGCCCAGGCACAGGTTCCTATCACCCCAGGGACCTCACTGGGTGTTTCCATTGCCCACACAGGGTAAACCTCACACCCCACCAGTCACTGCCTCAGTTTCCCCAGAACCTTTTAAGCTTCTCCTCCCATTCCCCCCATCCAGTCACCCTGGGGGTGTCTGAGGGAGAATCCAGGTACCACAGCCTGGGGTGGGGGGAGATTTCTACCCCGTGGCAGGAGAAAGATGAGGGTTTGGGGGTTCCCAGGCTCAGCCCACCCGTGGGCAGCACTCCCAGTTCCCACGGCTGTGGGAGCCACTGGGGAAGCTCCATCCCATCCCCCAGGGTCAGCCCCCACCCACGGTGGGGACTCTGCTTCAGCTTCCCACAGAGCTTGGGGCAACCCGTGGGTGTTTTTCCTGGAAAGACCCTTTTTCAGAGAAGGGTGGGGTGGGAATTTCTCCTGCCACACACACACACAGGTTGAAACAGCTCAACCCTCCACTAAGCATCCCCCAGAGTGTGCAGAGCCCCCAGGGGGAGGTGGGGGCTGAGCCCACCCCAAAACCCACCCAAGAGCAGCTCATCTCACTCCCCTGGCAACAGCTCCAGCAGAGCAAAGCGAAGAGCAAACAGCACTGACTTCAGATATTTTATTGCAAATCAATTAAATTCCTCAACTCGGTAGAAGAATAAACTCTGCAAAAGGTTCAGTTCAGCATCTCCAAGTGCAAAAGCAGCACCCGGGATGGGTTGGGGATGTGGGTGTGCAGGTCCATCGGTGCATTGATAATTCCTTGGGAATAAAAGCAATTTTTTGCAACAAAAAAAAAAAATAATAAAATAATATATCCATCCCTTTGCATGTCCTCATTCTCTTATCGGGTCCAAGCTGCCAAATATCACGACAGTCTCCAGCCCTGGGGTCAAACCCATGGGGCTCCCATGCTCCAACACAAATCCTCGGCGCTGTGTCCGGTCAGTGGCTCC